TCTAGATCTACTTTCGTGTGAAGTGCTTTGATGGCGGCTTCATGGAATGTGATTTATGTGAGCATTGGGTGGTATTGAGAACATCGATTTTGGAGTAGATATTGCATTGGGAGGCAGTGACTACTTTTGTTCAGTTTCCTGCTTCCTGGTACGGTGGCCTATTGCATTTTGGTGTTGGTTTCTCGAGCGATAGATGTCAGAAGAACTGGCCCACTGAATTTCCCTGTTCATGAAGAGTCTTGATGAAAGGGGAATTAAAGTGCATTGATGGTGTCTTCACTTGGACAGTTGATCGAAAGGTGGCATGTATGGGTTACTGAATCAGGGTGTGAAGTCTATGCAATGCAATGTGAGCGTTCAGTGAGCGCAGGAGTGAAGTATTACAAACTGCGAAGCACTATGCATTAATGCCTTCAATCGACCAATAAATCTTGGTAGTTAGATGTGTCGTACACCAGATCACCAGGTTAAACAATGGGTGCCTTTCATTAGGTGATTGCGCGTTAGAGGATGAAATTTAGAGGAAGATGAATATGTTGAAAATAAAACTCTTTACCCTGTCGTCACAATCGTCTCCACCTTCTTCTGATTATTTCCACTGTAACTACTTCTACATCAAGGAGCATGAGCGATTTTGAATCATTCCCAAGTACTATCCATTCACGAGGTATAGGTCATTATTTCTCTTGCGGTGCAAAACATTGAGAAGCTTAAATATGGCCTACTGAAACTAATTTAAGTAGAATAAAGCGTCTTATATCATAGTCTCAGTGCCCAATCACTCACGTAACATTGTGACTTTAGAAAAGTATAGATTTGGAATTTTATCTTATTTTCTAATATTAACGGTCAAGGAAAAAGCTAATATTTTCTAAGTTGATTAAATGCGCAATCCAACGAATATATATATATATATGCCTTCATGCTGAAAAATTCATGTGAAAGACTTTGATCACAATTGTGAATGATTTTATTGATTCACTTATGCAGATTGGTGAAATAACTTTGAATGGTCAACTTACAAGGATGTGTAAGTATGGTTTTCACCAGTCAATCACCAGTCGTGCAGTTAGTGACAAAGTAGAGGAAACTAATGCGGTTGGCAACTTGAAGTTGACCACAGGCCCCAGTTCGAATACGATGTTTCCAGGCTGGCCAAAAACGATTCTCCTGTTGGAATCACAATGGGAAAACGATTTGACATTGTGGCACATTCATCAGAGTCTTGGCTTATTTCAAGTCTTTACTACTAACCAAGTATTCACTTGAATTGTTTTTTGGAAGTACTGAATGACAATTCACTCAATCACCAAGAATGTGCAACTGAGTCGAACCCAGATTTCTGTTCAAAGGAAGCAGAATCATATAGTTGAGAGGTGGGAACTTCGGTACTTGTGTGCATATCAATTTGCAACAGACGAAGGTTAACTGCTTCAAATTTTCTACTCAGTTAAATGAGCTCGGCCAACTTAGAACATTTAGACATCTCAATTCTTTCGTATTCGCACCGTAGGCTAGTGAATGTAATGTTAAGACACTCTGTCATCACCACCTTCATCACAGGAGGATAACTTGATTGAAGTTCCTCATAAAGACATACATTCAATAGCAATGCACAATGCGTACTCGTATATATCGTAATGGGCTAAACGAATGATGGACTGCGAATGTTGCATTGCGGCCTTTCGCATCTTTCAAACCCATGTCTTCCGGTGCCTCGATGCTTCTTTCAGATGTTCTCCGGAATCCTCTCTAAATTAGAGCAAACGACATCATCCTGTATACCTGTGAGAAAGCAGTTAGCACAATGTTGTACTCTTAGAGCATTTGACAAAAGGCATCTGAATTACCATAGCTCATATCGACTTGATTATACCAAACTGGAATTCATGCAAACTCACTATTTCTGTTGGACCAGTGGTGAAAAGTTAGAACTATTTGCGATGTCATGAATACTAAATGACTTTGGAATCATCGAATTCGGCATTTAGTCCTTCCGAGCCTAAAGCAACTTATGACAGTTTTGACTCTCCGAGTCCACTCCACTACTTTAGGCATTACGAGTTGAAAGCTATTGATGATGTATCACCTACTGCACAATCCTAATATTATATTCGAGAAATAATAACTGCAATTTGTTGATTGCTCACAAAATGTAAGTGTGCATAATATTCTGGATGAAATGGCCTACAATTTGATGAAATGTTGATCTTACCAGCTGACAATGATAGTTAGAATGATATAGTAAAGAAAGCGAAATCGCACCATTGCTCTGCTTGAACATAACTAAACAGTTCTGATGCCAATCAAGTCAATAGGGTGTGATATCTGACTTAGAAAGCGAATATGATTTCATTTCCATTTAAGTAGTGACCAAAGAATTAAATTTTCCCATCTAAATTGCATAGAATTGGCACAAATGCTTACCTGTTTTTATGTTCATATTAAATTAATTTGAATAAAACTGACCAGGGTGAATGCTGCTCGAATTAAACACCTCTCGTCCAATCACATAACTTCAAGACTGCCAAATGACTTTAACCGAGTGAATGACATAAAATGCAATCGATTTACCTATTTTTGCATGAGCAATGTTTCATGAGGTGGTTCTTTTTATCCTCAGATTGTCAGAATTGAATGAGGAGTTAATGGGAGCCAACATTGAATGAAACGGTTGTCATTGACACCCTAGATACTCCAAACAAGCACGACGAATGCTTTGACAGCTGCAAAATGGGACCTCAGTTCCAATCTGGATGAAGTGCTTGAGAATTTGTTGCAACTGTAAAGTTCCCAGTAAATTCAATGGTAGAAATTTTGTACATGCATCACTTCTTCTAATCTCATCGAATTTCCATTTGATATTGTTAGACAAAATGTGTGTATGGAAATGTGCGGACACTCCCAATGTCGAATAATTGAGCGATTTTGGAAGAGCACTAATTCATGCAGATATTGAAGTGATTGGTCTTCTTGGCATCAATATCACCATCGGCATAATCGAATTCCAAACCTAACAACTGCAAAACCCACAACAATCAACAGAACGTCAAACGTGACTTTTAAATCGTTCTGCACTTGCCATTTCCAATCTAAGAATCGAATATCCATTACAGTAAATCGTGACCTCACTTTCCATCTACATTTCCACAGTGAAGAGAGCACATGAGTTTACACAGACGAAGTAAGGTGAGTAGTTGACTTTATTTATGTTAACTATAACAACAAGTATAACAATGATAANTAATGGGACCAATATGGGTCGTCGTCGATGTCACTGTACATGCATCACTGTAAGGACAACTATGTTGAGTCAACCCCAATGGTTTTAGCTTTTCCTAAAATGTAATGCAATTTAGAAGTGAGTGACTCAACAAACCTCCTCCACAACTGCAACCCCCCCCCACCCCACCCAATTTCGTGTGGTATAATGATAGAGTCAAATGGTTTACGGTCAAGAGTACAGGTTCATTTAGCTTCAGACCACTTCGTGATGCAATCGTGACAATAGATGTGCATGCATCCACCTAGCATTCCGACTGAGAATTTGATTTCCTCCAGATATATAGAGCACTGATTTGTAGCCGCCATGACACTGAACAATGTGTCAAATGTGGTGACAGGTTTGATTACACTTAAACAAACAAAATCGTGACACAATAAGAGCTAATCGTTTGAGCATTCAATCATCACAACAAATCGTCATTCAAGCAGTCGTGTACCCCAATAACTTGCTCCTGTAGACATGTATTTCCATTTTCTAAGAGTCATTTACACAATTTTTTACAATGCTCTTTTGCTAAGTTGTGCTAACACGACATGAGCAGTAAACACCTGACCCTTCTTATATGTAAAAGTAAGCGCAAAGTTATACATCTTCTCGTATACCCCAATAACTTGCTCAGCCAATCAACAAAGACTCACGCACAGTTTTGCGCTGTCGACTATTCAAGGAATCAATGACTTTTGCTCAATTCGTTAAACGCTTAGTCGCCATACAGAACATATAACCTTCAATTAAGGAGTAAATATAACAAGAACGAAGAATTAAAAATGGCAAAAAGGCAGCCCATTCATAAGGTTACTCAAGTAAAGTCACAATATTTTGCGTTCATTCTTTAATAAGTTGAGTTGGGCCAAATTCTAGAATTCGAAAATAATACCATGCCACACAACAACAAATTTTTCGAAATCATGATGTAAATGGTATTGCGCTGATTACTAATAAAATCAATTGGAAATACCGTTTACAATACATCGCTTAGATCAACACCTGCACAGGATATACTATTAATCACTAATTTATTTATCAAATTTGTAAATAAACTTTAAACTATGCAAACACGGAATTAATTAAATAAATAAAGTGAAAGATGACTCCAGTTACTATTATATCATCCGAAATCATCACTGGGGAAATGTATGTATGGCATTTGAATTTGAAAATTGTTGGTGATCAAATGGCTCTTCAAGTTCATTTCCACAACAGGACAACTTTAGATGAGGCAACAATTGTAAGATTGGAAGGAACATTAGCTGAAGTATTTTGGTGCCGAGTGATTTTCACGTGGATAGAGGCAAAAGGCAACAAAATAATAACTGTTTAAATGAAAATAGTTCAAAATTAAAAAATAAATGTTATTTCTTTTCAGCTCATTAACAATGGAACAGTTACAAATATTGCATACGAATTTTGAGTTCAAAAGCAAAAATTGTTTAAATTGACGGAAGTGAGAAATTTCAAAATTGTACAGACTCGATTTTTGGCAGGTTATCTCTCAAGGTATGTTTAAGAAGTAATATGCGCACTCTTCTGCACTCAATCACAAACTCAATTTGGTTTCATCCAAAAATGTGTTGAGCTTGTTTCAATATGTCTTGAATGTCTGTCTTTTCCGTCTTCTTCACTTCTATTTATCTTAATTTGTTGATGATCTGTGATATACACTTTTGCAGCTAACAATTGAAGACCCCAGATGGCACCGAACAAGAGTGATAAGAGCAAAGAGGTAAGTAAAAAGTCTCTTTGCATTTCATTTACAATACACGTTCGAGTGTTTATTGGTAGACAGTGGATGCATAAGTGGATGTTGGGCCAATTGATGTGAAAGGTGGGAAGATGGAAAGTGAGATACCAAGAAATCAGCAACATGAATAGGTTCTTCAATTCACTTTTGTGATAGCATTTGGCGTCCACAGACATTATTCATTATTCCTCATAAAAACGTTGCGGACACCTTGCAGGTCGCCCATAGGGAATGGAAACTGCCAAAGATGATCTCTGCATGTAGAGAGGGTCAGCATTGAGATTGCAACTCGGATACCAAAATGTGTCCAGAAATTGCTAATGACTGTCATTACTAATAAGGCGCACGCCATCGAGCAGTATTGAGAATTCTCAATTGATCCATGTGAGGAGAAATGGAGAGAAGTAGTGAAGGGTAAACTTAATGTTCACTTGCTCCATTTCACTTTCCAACATGTACTAATTCCAGGAGCAACAATTTCTAATGATGATTTCCTCTTTAGAGTGAGGCCGTGGAAGAAGACCTCGGCAACAACCTTCTTGAGGAGTGGCCAATCATGTCACTCGCATATAGGCAAAAGATGAGGAGGAGCCTTCCGCAATTGCACAGTAGCCTACATCTCTACGAGTTGGCTGATGTGCTCGAGGACTTTGTCAAAAGCATTCAGCCTTCTGACAGAACCATCGCAATAAGAGTAAGTTGAGTCGTTCAATTGTATCACCACGCTCTAAATGACTTCATATTCACGCACAAGATGTAACTGAACTTGTAATCGATTTGGTTCTTATAATACCTATTTGTTCCCGTTCATTTCGTACTTTGGTGGTGCTGTCACTGTTACTGGAGAACACTCGGTAGAACTCTTAGGTAAAGCCACTCCTAGATTTCAATCACATATAGCCAAGCAGGTAGACAGGCACCATGCCAGCCATCTAGTGAGTCATGAGAGGGTGCAGTAGTGTTCTAAGTGTAAGGGCAGAGCAGTTGTCACCGCCGCAAATCCCCCAGCACCTAAGTGGATGCCTGAAATGTAGCCGAATCAGCGTGTTTCTTCCTACTTCTGATCTCCTCTTCACTTCTTCAATTGTAGAAGGCGTTTATCACCGATTTGAGGCGATTACTCCAAGAGAAGTGTTCAGGATCCAGGTTGAAGTTGTTTGGCTCCTCGGCGAGTGGCTTCGCAACAGAATCCAGTGATCTGGATCTCACAATGGTGTTTGCCGAAGGTAGCCGAGAGGCAGACACTTGGAGGAGTGGAGTAAAAGATGATTAAATTAAGGCAAGTACACTCCACCAATTCTTCTCCTCAGCACACCACCTTCTTCCATAGTATTTCTAGTTGGAACTTTCTACCTGCCACAGCACAACATACTGTCATGGCTTTGTGAAGCATCATATCTAAACTCAATCTATGACATTTTGATCTCCTAACATGCTGGTGATTAGATTTCACTACAAATTTCAAATTGATTACGTGTAACCTTGAGAGAGTACAGCAATTTTGATCATCCAATGAGTATATTCTGACACATTTTTGTTGCGGATTATGTGTCGGTAGTGGAAGCTGTGAGGATGGGGAACACACTTGGCAAAATTGTCTGTTTCGATGAACTTAGTTCAGGAAGAAAAGTTATTTCTATCGACCCACTAAATCAATAAAACTGTGCAGTTCGAATAACATGGCACACTTCCCATATCCAACTTCCAATGTTGTTTATATTGTGCAAATAGGCAAGGCCTTAGGAATCGCGAAACTAGACGGTTCAAGTTACCTGGTCGAAGGGAAATTTGTAGGGTACATACTTTTCTGCGCCTGTTTGCAATTCCAACTCGATTGTACTTTCCAATGTGGTGCTTTCACTTTAAGACTTT